AAGAAAAAAGAGGAAGAAGAAGAAAAGAGGGAAACGGGGGCAAAGGGCTTTTGCCTCGTCCCCCCGCCCCCCCCCCCCCCGCCAAAAAATAAATAAGAGAGAGAGAGAGAGAAGGAAAGGGAAAGAGAAGAAAGAAAGAGAAAAACGAAAAAGAGGGAGAATAGGAAAGAAAGGAAAAGAAAGAAAAGAAAGGAGGCAAGAGCCCTTCGCCCCTGTTTTCCTCTTTTCTTATTCTTTTTCCTCTTCTTTCTTTCCTTTTATATTTTCTTTCCCTCTCCCTTCTCTTTCCCTTTATGGCGGGAGGGGGGAGGGGGAGGTAAGAGCCTTTCGCCCTTCCCCCGTTTCCCTCTTTCCGTCTTCTTCTTCTTTCTTTCCTTTTATATTTTCTTTCCCTTTCCCTTTCCCTTCTCTCTATCTCTCTCTCTCTCTCTCCTATTTATTTGTTGGCGCGGGAGGGGGGTAGGAGGCAAGAGCCCCTCTTTTATTCTTATTCTTCTTCCTTTCCTTTTTTATTCTCTTTCCCTTTCCCTTCTCTCTCTCTCTCTTATTTATTTTTTGGGCGGGGGGATGCAAGAGCCCTTCGCCCCCGTTTCCCTCTTTTCTTCTTCTTCTTCCTCTTCTTTCTTTCCTTTTATCTTCTCTTTCCCTTTCCCTTTCCCTTCTCTCTCTATCTCTTATTTATTTTTTTTGGCGGGGGGTGGGGAGGGAGGAGGCAAGAGCCCTTCGCCCTTCCCCCGTTTCCCTCTTTTCTTCTTATTATTCTATCTTTCCTTTTATCTTCTCTTTCCCTTTCCCTTCTCTCTCTTATTTATTTTTGGCGGGGGGGGGGGAGGAGGCAAGAGCCCTTCGCCCTTCCCCTGTTTTCCTCTTATTCCTCTTCTTTCTTTCCCTTTCCCTTCTCTCTCTCTCTCTCTCTCTCTCTTATTTATTTTTTTGGCGGGGGGGGGGGGAGGTAAGAGCCTTTCGCCCTTCCCCCGTTTCCCTCTTTCCTTCTTCCTCTTCTTTCTTTCCTTTTATATTTTCTTTCCCTTTCCCTTTCCCTTGTCTCTCTCCTTATTTATTTTTTGGCGGGGGGGAGTGAGGAGGAGGCAAGAGCCCTTCGCCCCCCCCCCGTTTCCCTCTTTTCTTCTTATTATTCTTTCTTTCCTTTTATCTTCTCTTTCCCTTTCCCTTTTTTCCTTCTCTCTGTCTCCCCCAGCTAGGGCTGGTTTTGTTTACGAAGCGCCCGTCAGGAGAGTACACGATAGAGTACACGATAGAGTACACGATAAAATGGACGATATCGTGAACTTTATATCGTGAACTTTTCACGATAAAATTCACGATATCGTGAACTTTATATCGTGAACTTTTCACGATAAAGTTCACGATATCGTCAATTTCGTGAATTTCTTCGTGAAAAATATGCGATAAAATTGACGATATCGTGAATTTTATCGCATATTTTTCACGATTTAGTCTATTCGCGATGTCCCTTCAGGGCCACCATATATAACACTGTCCCCCTAGAATCATATATTTTTCATTCCGCAGCCATTTCAAACAGTGGCGGATCCAGGGGGGGGGGGTGCAAATTGAAATTTTTTTTGAGGATCAAAAAAAAAAAGAAGCTTATCAACACTAGTGTAACTAGGAGGGATTAGACCACACAGCGAGGTCACTGACAGGTGGCTATTTCATCAACTCAGCTCTCAAATAACATAAGAAATAGAGGATCATGGGGGACCAACAGGCATCGATTAGGGAAGTTTTCTATATAGAGGGAGCAAGGAGCTACAAGTAGGACAGTGGGGCTTTAAGTTCCTTTTTCACATGTAATTTCGACATTATTTAGTGTAAATATCATACAAACTTATGCTATGTAGATGTCTTTATTGTTCACGAATATCGATTTTGTAAATATGCTATGCTTTGTTAATGTATTGTTGTTGTTTTTTCATATGAAATAAAAAGAAACTAAACTGAAACTGAAGAAAGACACAGTCAATTCAATGTTATATCTTTTAAAGTTTAGATCTTTTAAAAAAATGGTTATAGTGTAAAATATGAGGTAATATAAAGTAAGTAAATTGCTCGGTTTATATAATATATACTATACAGTACGTCAACACAAATGAAACTCGAAAATATATATTGTGAATATCTATGACCGAGGTGTATGTATAAAGAGATTCCCTGATTTCTTAGACTAGTTGAAGAACTATGCTTTCCAATGATACATTGATTACAGGGTCGGATCTAGATTTTTGCTAAGGGGGGGGGGGTGACCCAGTGGCGGATCCATAGAAAGGCTGAAATTATATCTCAACTGCTCATAGCTCGCTCATAATACCTGTTTGTTTTTCGGGTTTCGATTTTATTGGGTCGAACGTCAAGACAGTTTATATGTTACTATGAATAGAAGCCTCATTAAAATCATACCTCAACTCCATTTATCTTCTCAAACATTGTCTCATTCATTATTATTATCATTATTATTAATATTATCAGTATTGTTGTTATCATTATTATTAACATTATTGTTATTATCATTACTATTGCTATTACTACCACTATTATTTTCCAAATCAATAATAACATTTATGTATGTAAAGCCCATGTAAATAGGCAAACTTGATACATTATTGGTGTTGCCACTATTACAGAATGAGTCGTTTTGTAAAGTCATTGATATAGTAGCATTAGTGATTAAATGTTTGTTTGACGTGTATTAATATCGTTTCAATTACTCTGCTGTCAATTGTGTTTGTGTGAGCAAGAAGAAGAAGAGGGATACAGAGAACATAAGAACGTGTGGAGAAGAGAAATTGAGAGAAGATTTAAAGACAACGCAAAGTTTTGGGAAATTTTGAAAATTGGATGGATGGTAATTCTTTAAAATATTGAATATTTGGATGCCCCTGTGGATGTATTATAAGCACTAACAATTTCAGCCGCTGAAAAAACTTCTGATTTCGAGAAATTGAATAATCAAAATTTACCGGTGCTCCCGACAAATTTCAAATATTAAAATAGCGTCTAAGGCCATGGTAGCTGCGACCATGAAAATCTCAGAATATTTAGTTCTGATATATAATTTCCAAACGGAAATAGCAAATCGGTCGATTGTAGTCAAGAAACATTTTTTTAAAGCTAAAGTAAAATCAGTCTTGAGAGGGAGCTATACAACATAAAAAGTTTATCATTTACAATTTCATCACTTTAGATGCGATCATTGAATATTGTAAAATCGCATATGCTTCCAATATGTTCATTTGAACCAAATTCATGACCCCATACCAAAACTTTGTATTACCTTTAAAACTTCTCTCAATTTAATGAAAGAGATATATAATTTAGCGAGAGAATTCGAAAGGAAGATATAAAGAGAGAAAATGTGAAAAGTTATTGATTAAAAGTAGGAGAAATTTGTAATGAAAGAGATGTATGATAGAGTGATAGAATTTAAAATGAAGACTCAGATCAAGATTGCGAGAATGTGATCAGGTGAAAAAGGGAGATACTTTTTTAATGAAAGTGAGTGAGATCGTTTGAAAGAAAGAGAAAGGGGTGAGAGAATTTGATAAGATAATAAAGTCAGATATATTCAAGATATGGAGATATACAAAGGTAAGTGGATATTAACGGAAGTAATAAAGAGTGACTGATTGTAAGAAAATGATAAAGTGAGAGAATGTTTAAATGAAAGGAAAGAGATGTATTTAAAAACTAATAATAAGCGGTATAAATGAGTGAGAGAATTTGAAAGGAAGAGATTTACATATTGACTGAAAGAATGTGAGGATATAAAATTGAAATTAGAGAACTTCTTCGCGTTATATGCAGCCCAGCATTGGGAAAAGCTGATTAGCATTTTGGACTAAAAACTACTAGACAACTCCGTTGCTCCTCTTAATTCTTGTTAGTTCTCTCCGCTGTAATTTTGATTGAATCAAATTTTCATCAAACTCAACTGCATGGTGTTAGATATTCAAAGGAAGGCTAACTGTAGTAGTAGTAGTAGTAGTAGTAGTAGTAGTAGTAGTAGTAGAAGTAGTAGAGTAGTAGTAGTAGAAGTAGTGGTGGTAGTAGTAGTAGTAGTAGTAGTAGAAGTAGTAGTAGTAGTAGTAGTAGTAGTAGTAGTAGTAGTAGTAGTAGTAGTAGTAGTAGTAGTAGTAGTACTTGGTACTTGGTTGGGTAATCCCGTTGGCAGCTCACTCAGGAAGCTTTACTGGGATGGAGTAGTAGTAGTAGAAGTAGTAGTAGTAGTAGTAGTAGTAGTAGTAGTAGTAGTAGTAGTAGTAGTAAAAGTAGTAGAGAAAGTAGTAGTATATAGTAATTAGCCTTTAAGCAAGCATTGGTAATGGGCATGTGAAATGTTAGAATGCATTTAGGTCGGAGGGCAAGTAACTTATATAATTTTGTTCTTTAGCGACTTAAAAAGAGTAACTAGAAATAAATTGAAATCATATGAAGTTATATCAATTCTTAAATGGGGTTTAGGATTCGTTTTTGAAAAGTTTTTGAAACATTCAAAAATGAGGTAGGTATTAGCAGTACACCACATTAAAAACAGATAAGATCCTACAGTCATAATGTCCCCACATAATAAGTATACGACCTGACTTGCAATTATCATTTGACAAGATAGCATTATATCTGTTAACATAATGATAACATGGTCAAGTTATCTTTATTAATAGTGTAACATATTGCAATATTCACAGGTCTGGAATCGAGATAGAGAAAGACATAGAGAGAGAGAGAGAAAGAGAGAGAGAGAGAGAGAGAGAGAGAGAGAGAAGGAGAGACAGAAAGATGGGGGGAGAGAGAGATAGGGAGATAGAGAGAAAGAAAAAAATAAACACCCTCAACCCCCCCCCCCCCCCTCCCCTCCTCCTCCCCCTCCACCCCCAATGTCTGGATCTACTTAGGCTACATCACTGCGGATATTCGTACTGATATCACAAAAAGGCTAGGTTGTTCGATCTATAATCATTATCTTCTCCATCTACGGGTGTTCAGGCATCTTCAATATGAGAGCTCTGATACCTGTTCTATTCGTTTCCTTCGTGTGCTTCGCCTCGGCGAAATATGAGGGGTGAGAAAACGAATATTTGATTATTTAATCACATAATTGTTTATACATACTTTGTCTCCTTTTTGCATAGGTCACATATTATAGCATAAGTTTAGGAAAATTATTTCAAGAGAGAAGAAGAAGAAGAAGAAGAAGAAGAAGAAGAAGAAGAAGAAGAAGAAGAAGAAAAAGAACAAGAACAAGAAGAACAAGAAGAACAACAACAACAAGAACAACACGAAGAAAAAGAACAAAAACAAGAAGAACAAGAAGAACAACAACAACAACAAGAACAACACGAAGAAGAAGCAGAAGAACAACAAGAACAAGAAGAAGAATAGGAGGAAGGAGAACAAGGGGACAAAAGAACAAGAACAAGAAGAACGAGAACAAGAACAAGAAGAACAAGAAAAATCAGATGAAAAGAGGAGAAGGAGGAAAACAAATATTGGTATCTGACAACCTAACTGAGACTTGATATGGATAACATAAACGCGATATATTTAACGTAGTTATCAACAATGTCATATGAGTCATTGGTGTAAGAAATATAATTTAATCAACAAACTAATATTCATCAATTTCACGGCGATGGGATCTCACTTGTGTGAATTTTAACAAACAGGTACCAAGTCTGGAGGATTAAACCAACGACGGAGAATCAAATGAGATGGCTGAGTTACATCGAAGAAAATATGGGCGAAGAGGTGAGAACTACAAATGGTTTTTTTATAGATTTTCCCTGGATATTTATTAAAGAGGGGGTACCCCAGCACCCTAGCTAAGGTACAGCAAGGGATCGCTAGTTATATGAAAAATATATTTTGCAATAACGTCAACTTCATGAAAACGAAGTATCGGAAACAGCAAGATGCCTAAATATATAATATAATAATGAAATGAAATCTTTTTCCTCGCTCGCCCCTCGCAACATTTAGAAATGGGATGGTTTCAGGCAGCGAGATGCATGAGTACTCTCGTAATTATGTCGCAATGGCTGCCCGCATATGTTGGTTTTGTTTTGAAGCAAGTGGTACTGGTAGTTACCTGACTGCTAAGTAAGCATAAATGCTTGTTAGTAAGCAACCAGACGGCCGACGGCTTAAGGTCCTCTCCGAGGGACCTGGTAATGAGGATTAATGCCTTACCAAAGGGCACTAGCGCATCGCCTTGGTTTCGAACCCGGGTCACTGGATTACGAGACCACTGCTCTTGCGACTGAGCTATCGCGCCTCCTCAATATCGTCAATATCATCATAATTCGGGCAGCAAGGTGCCTCAAAATAAACGAAAAGTTTTTTTTCTAACACCCGCTTCAATTTCGCTCAAAATTTATAAACCAGGATGATCCCTGGCAATAAGATGACCGACTATATAATTTTCAGATTTTATCTCGTATGTATTGATGACAAAATAACATTTTTGCCATGATAAGAAGTGTGTCATTATTTTGTTTACTCGTTCGCTTCGTTCACTCGCAACACTGAATGGTACATTTTGGCAAGAGGAACCCGTATGCGCGTCCATGTTTAAATGAAAGGGTGGTGATAATGTGATGAACTTTATGATTGGGGTGACGTGGAACTGTTTTATTCCAAAAAGGGTGCCGTAACTAAAAAAAAAATGAACATTAAAAACGGTTTAAAAAAACTCTATCCTATAAAGGTACTATGTCTCTTTTGCAGCCAACATCGAATTATGTAGAACTTTGTAGGAATTATGAAAATGTCATGTATGTCCTATCTGGGCTATTTAAACGTTAGCAGTGACCTGACGTTCAAATTATGCGAGAAAACCCGTTTAATTGCTAGAGTTCACTGTCAGACACTATTGAGTGACTGGCTGGCTTTGTTTTCTTCTTTGATAATAACATACATAAAATGAGCTGTAAAGGATACATGAGCATTTGTCTACATCAATAACCCACTTTTTGTAATGGCCAAAATTAAACTGATTGAATCTTTGCGTAGCATAAAACGTACGACCATTCGGTATACAAGGGTCTGAAAATCAAACTATTACTTACTTGTTCTATAGCTCTTAAGTCGATTCGACAACTAATAGTCGTTATTTTCCCACTTAAAGACATTTTCAAGCCCCCATTTTCTTTAAATAAGGAAGTTCTTAATTAGTATAATCTTTCAAATGCCGTTGGAATTTAACCTTTTAATTTGTTTGGCCTGCAAATGGGACATAGTATCTTTAAGCGAAGTTGCCATTATTTTTTTAACGCAGCGGTTTCCCGCGTCAAAGATGAACAAGCTTTAATATGTCTCTCAAACGTATGAATTACCATGTATTAAACAATTATTGATTAATCTATATTAGTTATTAAAAAATTAACCATCTTCTATGAAATATAAGCTTTGCTTCTTAGGAGACTCATCAACCTATGTTTCTTTTTTATTTCTATTTATGATCTTAATAGTGTTTAATAGCAA